TGGGTGGGCTTTAAGGTCCTTTCCAACCTAAACCACTCTATGATTCTATTTCCTGAGGTGTGAGAGGGGTGGGCTGGGCAGAGCTGGGACAGTGCAGCACGGTGGGGACAGCCTCGGTCCTGAGTGTCCCGCTCTGAGTGACCTTGCTTGAGCAGAGGGTGCACAAGGGGACCTCCACGGGCCCCTTCCAACCTCTCAGCCATTCTGTGGTGGTGTCGCAGGAGGAGTCGCAGCATTTTAACACGTGGGAACTGTGCCGCAGCGCTGGAAGAAGGGTAGATTTGTGTATTCACTTTCTGCTTGTTTCTTTCCGTGCCCAGTCTCTCACAGGCAAGCCAAAAGGATCTAGTCGAACTCTGGAGAGGAAGCACGCCTCAGTTGCTTTCACGCAGACAGGGGCCTCTCAGCCATGCACCAAGCAAACCACCATCTCCGCCTTCTTCAGCACACAGACAGGTAACGTGGGCCAGCATGTGCCCCTGGGGGAAAGTAGTTTCAGGCCATGATAGGAAATCCATCTCATTTTATTTCTTGGCAGTGTTAATAGGCAAAAAAGAGCATTTTCTAGTAAGGAGGATAAAGGTTAAAGGTTTGAACTTCCAGAAATAATTTTATTGTAATGGTTAATGTAAACACAATCACCTTTTACAGTGTTAGACTAAAGCATGAGTAACTGTAGTCGCAGCTGGTCTTCACTGGAGAGCAATCTGGACTCTGCATAACGCACCAGCCTTTATCCTCTACAAAACTGGAGTTTTCAGTGGAACGTTGGGAAGCCTGACTCTGCTCAAGCGCTGATACAAACTGTCCAGGTGGCAGATCGTCCAGTTCTGGGTTGCCTGATGGTATCCCAGAAAGGATAATACAGTGGGGAACGCCGCTTCGGTTGGGACAGGGCGTGGTCTGGGCAGGAGCGCCGAGCCCGGCGCAGTCCTGGGGCAGCTCTCCAGGGCCTTGTGCGCTGGGTTTGTTCTAGCACAGCACAAATCCAGGTTTCTGCGAGGCAGCAGCAGTGCTGGCCTGATGTAGAACAGTCTGTGTTGTTACCTGAAGGAGTAGAAAAGCTGCAGCTCTGAGTCAGGTATCAAGGAACGGTGCTGTGGGTAGTGCGTAGCCCTGAGAAATGGGCGTGCCAGCTCTGGCTTTAACCAATTCCTTGTTGTTTTCAGATGAAAAAGACAAGGAAAACTCCAGGCCATCTCCTTGTATCCTGAATAAAGGCTGTAAAGAAAAAGGTATTTCTGTGTCTGCGTCCCCTGTGAAGATCTTGGTTTTGCCGCAGATGGAAGAGGCCCGGAAAGAATCCTTCAGAGGCGAGGAGGAGAGGGTGCAGGGGACACCCCAGCGCCGTGCACACAAAGCACTGGCCTTGCCCACTCCTTTGCTAGACTCTTCGGTGTTACAAGCCGGGTCCCACAGAGAGAGCGAAGCCTCGTGTGGGGCGGGAGAGGATTGCTGCTGCTTCAGCTTCACCCAAGACTCCGAGGGCAACAGGATCATCGCTCACAGAAAGGAGTCCGATTTATTTGCTGGAGAAACGGTTTCAGCAAGCGACAGCCTAACTACAGACTGCGGGACAGACAAACCAGAGGGACAGTTGCATGCAGAGGGGGTGAGGACTGGATGTGATTCCCAACCAAGACTTGGTGCAAACCAGAACAAGAAACCACAACGATTGAATAGTGTTAATTCTTTAATTGATTTCCCTGAGACTGAGAATATAAATCCTGCTATACCGAGAGACAGCTCCTGCGCCACTGGCTTTTATTCATCTCCGCAAAGAGCAGGCAGAGCACAGCCCCTGCGGGAGCGCAGCCAGAACGCAGGCGCTGGGTCAGCCGAGGAGCAATGGGGCAGTGAGGCGGGACTGGGCAGTCCCTGCAGGCAGCTCTTCACACAGGATTCGGAGGGGAACAGGGTCATCGCTCACCGCTGCCAGCACGTCCCCTCTCCTCGCAGGGACACGGGCAGGCAGCTGCCCAGCTCTCCCTCCAAGGGCTGTTCCAGCGCCAAGAGCAGCCCGAGCAAACCGGGGGAGCAGCAGTTGTGCTATGAGTTACTGTTCACACAGGATTCGGAAGGGAACAGGGTGATTAAACACTGATTTAACAGCGATTAAACCCAGAATGGGTCACCCAGTGACCTCTTGTGAAGCCTCAGCAAAGCAGGTGTGGTTTGTTGTTTTTTTTTAAAAAGCAGACAGATTAGGTAAGTGTGCCCATTGTTTCTATTGGTATGGTCGAGCCAGCACAGGCACTAGACCTGTGCACCAGGCAAGACCTCTTTGTTCTCTGAAATTTTAATAAAAATACAATTTTACAGGAGTATGTTCATAGTGTTTTGCCTGTTTCAGTCATGAACTGAACACCTGTGTGACGTATGAGGCTCAGCTGCATTCGGCTGATCTCAGCCCCCACGTGTGGCAGCCTGGTGCGTGCGGCAGTAACAGGAGGTTCGTGTTTTTTTCAGCGTGTGCAGCTGTAGCTGTGAAAGATGCACTCTGCTCGCGGCAGGTGGGATCACAGCGCGTAACCGCTGCTGCCAGACTCGCCAGAGCTTTAAAGCGAAGGAGACTGAGAGAGAGGAGGAGTTGTAACAGTGCCTCGGTTCTGGGTAAGTCTTAACCGCTGGACTTGTAGGCAGGGGTGTGCCCCTGAGGGATGGCTGGTGCTGTGGGGCTGGCCCTGGTGAGGTGCAAAGAATGGGCCAGTGTTGGTTTAACGGGGTGGCAGCTGCCACATCTCACCAACAGCCGTGGTGCTGCCTCTCTGCTGCTTGTGCAGCGTGTTCACCGTGATCCCCTGCTCTAGGTTTGGTCTGTTTTGAAGCGCAGGGAGCAGCTGCTCAAAAGCCCCTGGGGTCACGAGCAGCAGTGTTCATCTGTGGCCATGGTCACACTCCAGAACAGCAGCCTGCTTTGGCAGCAGCAACCACAGAGGGCTGTTGTTGTTGTTTTTTTTTTGTTGTTGTTGTTTTGTTTTGGTTTTTTTTGGTTTTTTTTGTTTTGTTTTGTTTTGTTTTTTCCCTGTTGAATACGTGTTCACATATAAGCTGCCTTTCCCCTGGGCCAGAATTTCAGTACAACAGACCCAGCTGGAGCTATGGCATAGCCCAGACATTAATTGCTCTGTGCCTGCACATGGCCAGCCTCTTCTCTCCCTTTTCAGGTGGGGATGATGTTTAATTCTTCAAAGGCTGAGGGACTGGTGGATTAAGAAAATCCTTGGCACCTGCGTGCAGTCATCTGCAGCACCACCAGCCACCAGTTCAGCTGCACCCCCCCCACCCCCCAGCTCCAACTGCTGCCGTGTTGGGACATCTGCACGGTAATAACACCAAGGACAACCACTGTCTTATTAAGGCTCCATTTTATATAAAGGAAAAAGTCATAATACTTTAGACACAGCCATGAGGAACAGTGCAGAGAATGTGGAGCTGAAGGGAACCTCCCCAGTCCATGAGAACTGCAGCCACAACCTGTGCCACCTTCCTTCTTCCCTTTTCTCCAAGGACAGCTCGTGTCGGGGGTGCTCGGTTCCTAGCATTGGTGGTTCAATAAATAGACCTTTCGAACGCTAAATAAAATACATTATCTGAATACAACGACTATTAATGAAACATTAAATTACTGGCAAGAAATTAAGGCCATTCTCTCATGCAGCTGTGGGGACAGTCTGTGAGTGACGGAATACCCCGGGCGCAGTCGAACCAGGCAGCATCCCGCAGGCGTGAGCAAGTGGTTTGATCCTTGACCACAGTTCCATCCTACCATCGGATCAGAGTGAGGGGAAGATGCCTTTTCCCACTGTGATATGACAACCTCCCACCCCCTGAGGCCCCGGAAGCGTTAATGAGCTTATTCTGGGTAGCTGGGTATGACCCTGGGCACAGAGATCCAGCTGGATGTTGGACTCCCGTCACCCAGGAGATGGGAAGCAGCTCTGGGGTAACGAGGCTGGTAGACGTTAATACTGTGAAGTGTGACCCTAAGGAAGAGTGTAGGTAGAAGGAACGTCATCCAGCAGCACTCATTGCGCTCTTCAGAAAATCCTTATCAATAATCAACATCAAAACACAGGCGGAAAAGAATTTCCATCTTCTTAAAAAGTTTTTTTCTTAAATATAACAACACATGGAAAACACATCAAATCCGTGGGGCCCTTCCTAAGCAAGTGTCCGGTGCAGGAACCATTTCAATTCAGAAAAGAGGCAAAAGGCTCAATCCTCAGGAAGGCAGCTACTGTGGAGAAAATTGTGGGAGCATAACACTTTCGCTTACAGAGTTTAACGACAGTAACATCATTTCTCCTTCATGGTCAGATCTTCAGCCTTTAGGGCAAATTTTCTTCTCAGAACTTCTGCTATGAGAACGGCCGGGTCGTCCTCCTTCATTGATGGTCGGTTTCTGTATGGAACACAAAAGCATGGTATTAGTCAGAGAAGTGCCAAAATTGATGGTTTCCAGCTCTGCTTTAGAGTCGTCTGAAGTATTTTTCTGCAGTATCTGAATGCACTGTCCCGTGTCTGCAATGATTTGACAGACAAAAATTAAAAAATAAGAAAAACTTTGAAAGAGAAAATATAAGAGAGTTCAGGAAGCACTTACAAGTCTTTGCTCTGCTTCATCCTGTGAATGTCTTTCAGAATGCCCATCATGTCCGCAAAGCTGCTGGCCTTGGAAAGAGACACAGAATCTTCCTCGTCAGGATCCTTTGGGTCTGGTTTGCAACACTCGGAGGTTGCAGAACAAAGCAAGGAGACTGAGGGGAGCTCGGGGCTTTCGAGTTCCGCCTCCTCCTCCGTGATATCGCTAATGACAAAGGACGTTGTAGATTGGAAAGAGGGTCCAAAGCAACGTACAGGAGAAGATGCATTTGAACTTCCTGGAGATAGCAGATCTGGTGTTAATGAAGCAGAAGCTGCAAAAGAAAACAATACAGGTGGATAGATAAACTTGTACCAAACCATGGAGGTATTTTTTTTTTCCCCCAAAACAACAGAATATAAATCAAGAGGCATCATCAGCCAGCCTCCCTCATACTACAAGAAAAGAAATTCGTATTGTGTTACCGTCCACGTCCGCTCTGCTTACGACACACATTGCCACACGAGACCTTCTCCAGCACCTTTACCCCAGTGCCCCCCTGACGGATCTGTTCCTATCACCGCATCCCCCTCCCCTTCAAACACTGCGCCCGTCCCTGCAGGAGTCAGCTAATGTTGACTTTTTTCGGGTTCTATAGATAAGAAATGGAGGAGCAGAGCTGTAGCTGCTGTCAGGGTCACAGAGTGTAGGTGTTAATTGTCTTAACTGCTCTCCTCCTGCTCCTCACTGCCACGAGAACCCCTGTCCCCCCACACCCAGTACACCCAGTGAGAAGTGCAGGGCTGGTAAAAAATCACCCGCGGTGGCTGCAGGCGTTCTGACCTGCTTTGCTTCCCATCCCCATCTGCAAAAAGAATCGCATCCGCCTGTTCTCACAGGGGAACGTTAAAATGCAGTGAAGATAACAACAGCTCTATAAATTCCCAGTGGCAAATGAAAATGAGTTAGATATTTCCAGGGTGAAACATTAAGGGAAACAACCAAAACCCAAAAAATGTGCTTAGTGCGCGTCTCCTTGAAAGAACCTTCCTGTTCTGAAAACAAACTGTACACTGAAGCCCTTGGCCTCAAGACTAAACTTGCAGATAGTCACCAATCTCCAATAAAGGGATTTCTCTGACAGGATATAATAAAGCAGATTACATAATATTTCTTTTTTGACATCAGTTTTCCACAGTAACTCTGCTAGCAGTTATCTCCTCCATGAGACCACCGAGCCATAGCCGGGCCCTAAATCACAGCGCCCCGCTATCGACTTGGAGGACGCGAGGCGAATACAAACTGTTCTCAAACATCAGCTGATAACAGGGCCCACTGCTGAGCAGAGAGGGAGAGAAAAAGGTATTAAACAATTAAATAATTTTTCTCCCATCTGGATCTCTAACTTTCCTTGTTATTACTCTCCTTGAATTAAAATGGACTTCACCAGCACACAGCTTGAGCAACTGTAGAGCTGAGACAGGGTTTAGAAGGAAAAAAAAGCACCGAATTTCCTGTTCTTTATTCCAATCCTGTTGTTCCTCTGCTCTTGCACAAAGCAGAAGGAGGACTCTCCGACGGGGACACATGTGATGCCTCATTTCACACTAACTCCCTGCAGAGTCGGGGGTGACGCGGCTCCCTCGCCCCGGAGAGGCTGGATGTTACCATCCAGGAGCTGAGGCACGCGGCACACGGGTCCCGTGTACTGTGACAGGCCCAAAGACGACACACCAGCACAAGGGGATGGGGACTCTACGTGCGCACGGCTCATCAGAAACACCTCATCTCCTCTAAACACAGCTCTGCATGCTGGAAACACCCCGCATGTTCTCATGGTGGCACATATAGTCCCATTATTGACATCAAACCGATTCTGAGAGTCCAGCGACCATCTCACGGAACTGACCACAACCCCCAGATCTCCTGCAGAAACCAGCATTTCCGCTGAATCAAACACCGCAGCTCTGCTTCATGTTCAGACGCGTTTCTGGCTCATAGCTGGGCTAAATACAAACCGTCATTAAAGCTGCCAGTCCCTGGGGGCTGCAGTAACCAGCCAGCCACCGTGGCTGTCACAGCTCACGAGAAGTTTGCTCCCCTGCGCACACTGCACGGTGCAGCGCAAAGCAGCCACCTGGGAATTTAGGAAAATATTTGCTTTCAGGTGGCAGATAAGGAAGGTTTCATCAGCCACTATTACCCATCATCAACAGGAGTTGACCTGCATGACATCATTTCAAGTACGGCACAATCCTGTTTTATTTGGTTTTGAAGTGATGGGAGGAATCACAGGTCCTTCTTTTCCCCTGGAAAGCAGCCGCCATGCAGCTGTTGCCTTGGTTATTGGCAAAAGTATTCTGCATAAAAGAAACGCAGCTTGCAAGAAAAACTGTCTTCAAGAAGGACTAAATTCCTTTATCTGCCAATACTGTTCACTGTTTTTTTGAGTTGGGAGATCAACAATTCTGCCTTCTGAATACTCCGTAAATAGACACCAAGGTATTCCTCTCTTACTGGTTTCCAAACTCTAAACCAGCCTCTAGAACCCCTGGGATTTGGATCCTACCAAATACCTTCGTATTTTCAGAGCTGAGTATAAAGGAAAGGCCATGAAAGGAAGAGAAGTAAAAAGCCCTCCCTCACCGTTCACCTTTGTGGCTAAAACATGGCTTTTAACTGCACACACATTTCCTAAACCAAATAAACCAGTTCAGCTGGGCTTCTCCCCAAATACCTGATTCGCTACAGAAGCGGCACCATCATTTCTGTCACAGAAACAAACACTAACATCCCACTCCTGCCCAAATCAAGACACAACCCTCATGGCTGACTTGGAGCAGGAGTGGCAAGAACACACCAAACGTTTTCATGAAACAAGATGCCTGAGATGAGCTGTCCTCCAGATCAAACGCAGGCACAAAGCTGCACCTGGTACTTCTTAAAGCCAAGCTGGCCTCGTCCAGCGGAACAGAACCAGCATGGAGCCGACACCAAAGATGGCATCCCGCCAGTGGGAGCAATGCTGCTGGAAAAACACCCGCGAGGCTGCTCCGTACGGAGGCGGTAACCCGGCTCACTAACCCAGCCCTTCATGTTCAACAAGGGAAGCTCATGCTGTTCCCACCTGACTCGGCAGCGACTATTTTAGCTATCTGGCTGCGGAGGTGACTCAGCTCATCCTGGAGCTCTGTTGTTCGGCTCAGTGCGGGTAACCCAGGTTTCTTTAAGGCGAGCAGCTTCTCCTCCTGCTTCCTCAGGTTGGGGACCGAAGCGTTTCGCTGGATAACGGTGAAGGGGCTCGGCTTCCACTTGTGCTTCAGCGGGCGGGTGTCACTCCTACAGAACAGAAACCTGTTGGTCATTTACAGGGTCCAGACCCCTTGGTGACAACGCTCTGCCCCTGACTCAGGCCAGCAGCAGATCTCAACGCAGCGAGTTGAGCCTCTGCACCGCTGTGCTGCAGGGACCGCTGCAGGTGCCACCGCACCGATGCGCCGTGCTGCTCCATGTGCTCTCTTTGCATCGCAAGAACAGAAAACCTGCCACAGAAACTGTGACCCAACGGCACAAGATGTGGTGAGAGGACACGGGGACAAAAGTCTGGCCACGACCACGTGGTTTCAAGCCACTTCTCTGCTGGTGACTGTGTCTCTGTGCCGGGCAGCACGCCGGGTGCACACAGGAAACGTCTCCCACCCGTTAACCTTCGCCCCTGATGTCAAAGTCCATCTCATCAGTGTTGCTGTGCTCTAAGGATGAGAGTCCAGCTGACCAGCACTTGGGGGCAGAGCATTTCAATCCCAGAACTCAACCCTTCAACTCTACTCAGAAAACACCGTGGATCGGGGGCTGCCCTGCACAAATCTTTCACTGAGTAAAACACGGCACAGCACAGGCTCTGACACTTCCTACAGGAATTCCTCCCAGGGCCTTTCATCCAATTTTTTTTTTTCCCCCCTGTCTCTTGGGAAGAATGTCTTTCAACAGGCCTCAGACCTCAAGAGGACTGGAAGTTGGGAGCATTTGACCAATGTCTGGCCCACGCTATGTGAAATGAAGCAGTATTTTAAAATAAGGATCAGCAGACGCAGAGGAAACCAACCTGACTCTGGCGTATGTTTCCTCATCATCCGCTGCGATCCACACAATGTCTGCCAAGGTGGGGACTGGCGGGACGTCATTTAAATAGAGCTCCGAAACATTGGGTAGAACCTAAAGAGAAGGAAGTCACGTTAAGGAGATGGCGGTCCCGTCTCCTGAAGCTGCCCAGACGCGCTGTCCTGGCTGTCAGGGCCTCTCTCCTCTGCGCCACGCCGCCAGCTGCATCCGCCAGATGTGCGACAGCAACACCCCTCGGCTTAGGAAACGCCGCGCTGCCGTGTGTCCTCCTGCACGTGTTCTTGGGTGCGCTGGCGTGTCACTGTGCTCTGGGAGACCCAGCAGCGAGGGGACACCCGATACAGCTCAGCACGCTGCCAAGGCCACGTGCAACCCTCCACCGCTGCGAGTCCCAGCGCTGTCCTTGAGCAAACAGTGACATAAGTGTTCCCATGAACTCCGGGTTGCTGTTCGGGAAACACAGGCCCGAGGGCGTCTGGCTCGCTGGAGGTCACACAGCAACGCAGCGGCTCAGCAGCTCCCTGCTTCTGCCTCCTCTGGCTGGCTGACCCACTCCACAGGCACTGCTTTAGGAGGTATTTTCCTCAAATTGCCCGTGATCACTTACAAGAACCAAATTTCCAAAAAAAGAAATAAAAAAATCTTAAAATTATAGCTAGGTGAGTTTTGTGAATGCGACTCTGCAGACACGTGTCATTGACAGACCAGCAGCTCAGGACAGTGTCTTGTCTTGCTCAGCTTCCTACAGGCAATCACCGAGTCCCTCACAAGCCCGCTTACCTCAAAGGTTGCTCTGGGACAGGGCTTTAGAGGGAGGTTTGACCCGATCCTCCTGACGACGCTGCGTGCTGAGCCGTGGGGTTTGTTCTGCCAGATGGGGATCGTCTACAAGAATCCATGGGATATAATGAATATTTCAAGTCAGTTGCTCTTCCTAAAATGTATTAAACTGGAAATTGTCCTACACAGTCAACTCAAGAGCTCTGATCTCTGACCTTTCCTTTGTTCAGTGATACTTTTAATTTGGAACCTGCTAATAATTAAAGTTCTAATTCCATAAAACGATGTTTCACCTGTGAAAGTCAGCCAGGCACTCAGGGGCATTTTAAACACAGGTGGAGTATTTTCAGGACTGAAAACTAAAAACACGCTGAAAGGAGGAAAACAGCGTCACATGGGGGGCCCAGGAGACAAATGAAATCAGAAGAAGGTCTCACGGAAAGGGACACTCCTGCTTCCACGTGAACACAAGCAACGCTCGTCAGACTGAACATTCCTTGGGTGACAGCAAAGGGACAAGTCTGTTCAATGCCTGTCCCAGCTGTGGGCTGATGGCAACAGCCTGGGGGGATGTTTTCAGAAATAGAAAACGTGTTAGTGATCTCTGGATAGAATCATAGAATCCCAGAAGTGTTTGGGTTGGAAGGGACCTTAAAGCCCACCCAGTCCCCCCCCCTGCCATGGGCAGGGACACCTCCCACTAGCCCAGGTTGCTCAAAGCCTCGCCTTGAACCCCTCCAGGGATGGGGCACCCACAGCCCCCCTTCAGAGGGTGACACGCTCTGTCCCTTGCCCGCCTTCCCCTCGGACAGTTTTAGGGTGTCACAGGCTCCCGTGGCAGGAGGCGGCACAAGGCTCCGGACAGCAGCGAGCAGGGTGACACCAGACGGGCTGCACCGCTCAGTCCCCCGGCAGATCCACGGGTTTACTTATCGCTGGGGCTTGTAACGCACACGACGGTGAAATGTAAAGTTCCCGACGGTATTTTATTGTGTTTAACCCGGATCTCGGCGCTGGGGGAGCGCCGGCTGCGGGA